TCATACCAAGAGTCAGACATTGCTTTAAATTTCTGTAATGTATAACGTAAGATTTTTTAGCATATAGAGTAGTCATAAGCTTTTTATTCTTACGATTTGGAGGGACAAAATGCTCGGGACACAGCGGTAGATCTCGGTGTGCATCATGCAATTCTCTGGGATACTCCAAGTCTACTTCCAGAATATATCCATCTTGAGAGTCATCAGGAACATTGAAAACATTGAATCCTTCTGGATTTTCCCATTCGAAGCCGCCATAGGGTAGATGTTGACTCATAGCCGCACCGTACAGGTTGTTAACATCAAAGTACATGAGATACGACTCATCTTTATCTTTATCGTAATTTTCATCCATATATCGATTGTTGGCGTGAGCATAACGATTGGTGCATTGAGCGACACCTCCACGAATCCCTTTTTCAATGAATAAAAGCTTATCAACATCTGTTAAAAGCTCAATTTCCACTTTTGTGTATTTCAACATTGCATCGAATGCTAGTCCAGGCGCTGTGTAATAATGCAATGGATCTAGCTTATACACCGAAGAGCAGCTTTTTCTAAAATTTTCAAAAATGTCTGCTAGGAGTAGAACATCAGTTTTCAAATACAAATCTGAATATTCCCCAAGTGTTGAGATGTCAAACTTCTCCCAAACTTGACACGCATGTTCATAGTCCTCTTGTGATATCTCCCGATTATTCAATGATGAATAAAAAGATTCTTTAGGTGGTAATTTTTCATCATCCAATTTCTCCCAACTATCTACGTATTCATATGGAAATACACCCTTCCGCAATAAAAGATGAAATTCAACCTCGGTATTGCAATGCGCTCGGGTGATTGTCTTGTCCGTATCAGTCAAGTATGATGCCAATTTTTCAAGACTACTAGCCATGAATCTGAACGAATCAATGAATCTCAAGCTAACTTTCGTTTGTGGTAAATATTTTCGGAATGATATATACTTTTCTTTAGTTAGTGGCAGCAATTCTACGGAACTTTCAAAATGTTTCACTAAATCAACAATCAAAAAATGTGCATCATAACCCGAGAGATTATGAAAAACCACTGGTATTTCATGGGGATTTTTATAATTAATATTGCATCCTGCATGTGCAGCTCCACGATACCTGCCAGTAAAGTGACAATGATCTCGATGTTTAATATCTGTAGAAATGAACGGTTTCTCACAAATATGACACTCTTGGGATGCTTCAAAATCTTGCGATTGTTTGCTAGTGAGTCTCTCCATTGGCACAACAGTCTTTAAAATGTCATCAACCATCACTCCGATTTTTTTCAACTCATTCATAAACCAGATGATGCAGTCAGAGCCACGTTTGATGTTAAAGCGCGATAGAGTTGTATTAAACGAACATTGTAAGTAGAAAGCGATACTGTATGGCACATGTTTTTGACACAAGTTATCATCATCGTTCTCATTAGTTTTTAAAATGCATTCCAGGTCAGCATAAATGGCAAATGGTACAGGCTCTTTGAACTTATCATTTTTGAAATTTAGAATTTTGTTTTCCTCCACCGGTAAGACCATTTTACACTTATTTATTAAAAAACAGTCCTGTTTGTGTTCATCATAACGTTTTTTCTCACGAAAATGACACAGACACCGATCACATAGGTATATAAAATGCCCACTACTCGAAATTTGTGCACTCACAAGTTTTGAAAGATTGCTAATCCACGCATAGTGATAAACTGGCTGTGCATTAGCTGGAACATGTACATTCGAACAAAAAAGTAGTAAATGAATTGTAGGTATGTGAGACTCCACTTTGCTGAGGTAAAAAGGCACTATTTCTTTTTGATGATTGCTTTCATTTTCAATACCGTAAATATTGATGGATATGTTATTTTTCTTCTCAAATATATGAACATCACTCAAAGCGATGGGGAAGTTGATACCCTTATAATCAAGAGTCTTTTGACTTTGAGGTATAGTTGCGATCGTATAATGAGGATATGATGAAGTAAGACATCTGTTATTTTTTCCTGGATAGAGAGCAGCGATAACTGACCACAAGAAGCAAAATTGATCGGCATTTTTTATATTCACAACAGCTTTTTTCAGTTGTATATGATACGGCAGCGTAGCAAATGTCGATAAGCCAGCACTGAGAGGAGCATATCGATTCATATTAATCATCAAATGTAGAATTTCAATTAGTTCCCATCCTGAATCACATTCTTGGAAATCCTCAATTTTTGTAAGCAATGGTTCCGTGACATTCTCATCAAACCATTCACCGAGATCTGTGGTCGGCAAAATAATTACATTTTTCGTATTGAAATATTTAATTTCACTATTGATGAATTCTTCCTTTTTTATTTGAAATTTACACGCTAGTATACTGTTGACTTTAATATTTCCATTGCTCTCACGAACATTCTCCAAACGGGCAATTGACAATTCTTTTGCATCGTTAAGAAACCTCTTAGGATCCTTATTTTGAAGATTGATTATAATGCCAGAACGTATTCGGCCTCGAAAGGCCAGTGGACCATCCTTCCAGCGAACTCGACGAGTGAGTGATTCTTTTCCGCTACCAGATGACACCTGCATGCGACCTCCTTGATGCAGTCTGTCTCTGAACTTTTCTTCATAATGCTGGATGCAAGCGATGATTGATAAAACTTGGTTCTTCTTCCACACCGATGGATTTCCCCTGTTCAGGGCGCTCGTGTAAAGTTGAATATAACGAATGCATTTATTAATCCATCGCTCTATGTCGTGATAGAGCACTGTTTGATAAGCATTCTCTAGGACTTTTAGTATTCGCGGAGGAGGCCCGGTATCGCGGTCCATCTTGAAAAAATACACTAACAAACTCAGTGTGAATGTAACTGAATTTATAGCAATGATCATATGTGTAAAATCCCCCCACCAAGCAAATTTCAAGAATTATTTGACCGTTGCAATTCTGCGAGTGATTTTTCCGTTGAGATGTTTCATCATGACGAAGAAGTAAATTTCGAGGAATGATTGAACCGTTTACATTCTCGGAATAATTTGTCCGTTGAAAAAATACGTTGGATTGTTTCATCATATCATCCCCTTGATTCATCAAATTCCCAAGAATTATTTGGCCGTTGAGACTGATGCAATGGTTCGAAACTGTTAAAAAGTACGTTGGATTATGCAATTTTTCTTAGAAATTTTATACCGTTAAAATGATCAGGAATAATTGCAACTCTCCCCTCCACTCATGTAAGCCTATAAGTACTGATCATCAACCCCTTGAAGAGACAGTCTAAAGTCTGCAACGGTGCCGATACAATCCTTGAGCCTATATCGAACGAAGTGCAAAGTAAACAAAAATGGAGGCTGATCAACCACTGGATTTGGATCTGGACGGAATTAACTGTATCGCTTTGGGGAATTTCTTGCCTACCAAACGTCGAGCAGACCTGACGCTGAACGAGGAATACCTAGTGACGGATTTGAAGATCATCTCTACCAGGCAGTTTGGAGACAAGGTAGCCGTTGTGCTGAACGATGAGTTCATCGTGTATTTACCTGCGCGGTTGTCTGACACCTTCCTGGAGAACTTGCCGAAACTGGAAGCCTATCGCCTGACTGCCGCTGCTAAACGTTTGAAAATAAAATTTTTGGAGGGGAGATATAATCCTTGCGTCTTGAGTGAGCTGAAAGTATAAATCTATTCCTACAACTACGTTTATAAAAAAAGAAATGTATTGAATAACCTGAAAAGATGTAGGGAAGAAATAAATTTGAAAACTGAGCTTTAATTTTTGTTCAGTGTTATATTTTATTTTTTTTTAATGAATTGTGACGAGGCATATTCATTTATTTCTTATTATTTTTCTACATATTTTTTCCCACTACACACTGCCCCCTAAAATGTAAATCCCGCCACCGTTGGATACCCCTTCCCTCACTTTTCCCCTCATCGCCCCTCTACCCCTGCCCCTGGACATCACGAAGACATCAGCCGAAGGAAGACATCAGTTCCGGCCCCACCCGATCAATTGGAGAAGCCATCGCCTCCTGGAAATTCCCCATACTAGACCCCCGAATATTCAACACCAGCAATAATCCCTTGCGAGACATCCCTGGATTGTGGTCATCGTCACCACTCACCCGTGCTGATTGGCCCCGATTGCTCCCGAATTAAAACCCGAAGGACATCGACACCTGACGAACCCCCACGAATCGCGAAGGAAAAGAAGAGACCGTCACTCGTGCAATAGCTGCCCCGTGAGTCACCACGTGCTCCGAAAGTAGTAATAGTGAATGCAGTAAAATTCGCCCGGAAGTATTGGCGGATAAAAAGAGGATTTTCGATACATCGAGCTCATCCCAGCTCTAGTATTGGTGCCCAGGAAACCCCGAGGTGGAAAGGAGGCTCTCCAGGAAAACGCCCTGGTATTTTGAAGGAGTGCAAGGCGCCGGTGGAATTCCACGTGTTCGCCAGAGTGAAGTCCCATCGTGAGTACGAGTTACCCCCCTCATTTTCCCTCTTGTCCCCACAATATTACCCTTCATACCCCCCAACGGTGAGCCTACATTCTTTTGTTTCTTCCCCATTTAGTTATTCTTCTTATATTTAGTTGCATTCCCTCGACACGACTAGCTTCTCCCCTTTTTCTGCATTAGAGTCACTCCCCTTTTTACGTGTACAAAAGTTGCCTGGCCTTATCCATAACCCTAGATCCAAGTAAAAGGCATTTCAAACGTCTTACGACGATCTAATCTGTAAATTACTAGAAATATAGATATTTAGTTAATTTTATCCCTCATTCGTCCTCATTATTTAATTGCCCTAAATCCCCCTTTTAGGAAATATTGAACGGTCATAGAATAAAAAATGAACCTTAATACATAAATCTTTAAAAGCTATAATAATAATTTTTGAAAATATAAGTTAACAGCATCTGAAACAGATGAAACGTATATAAATATTAATTTTTCTTGAATGCAATTTAAGAAAATGGTAGAAAGAAGATGATGTTTACTCACTTTATTCGATGCAACGACCTTGTACGCCCAAAATGAGCCATGCGGCGATGGTGAGGCACCGCGCATGTGGCAGTATCTCCCTCGCCTCTTCCTCACGATCGACGAGACGGAGGAAGTTCAAAAATCCTCTCATCTCCTGATGAACAGAAGCTTGCTGTAAACACACAAGAAATATAGAAATGAGTTACATGAAAATTATTATTATTTATAGAAATGAATAAATGAACAACTAAATTGATCATTTGTTGTTGTACCTTCGCAACACACAGAAAATCTCCTAGGAATGCCAGGAAACTGACAACCTGGTGCATTGGCACCGCCAAATGTCCCACCAAAGGGTAATAGTGTGGGATATAATCCCAACACTTCTCCTTCTGCTCCAGCCACCAATCCTCCATGGCTGCGTCCTCTTCCTCCCACTCCTCCCTCTGCTCAGGGTCTGGGAATGGATAATTCTCCATGTTTTTTTTTCCACTGTAATAAACATACACTTGTTAATAATCACACGAAATCGCTTTTAAATGCACTAAAATCACTTTTTTCACTCAAAATTTGAAATACTTACGTTGATTTCAAACTTGTCAAAACACTTTTCAACTATCTCGTGGATGGTTTGAGACGTACTGAAGCAGAGCAATAAGACTGCGTATCCACTTAACAAACACTTCACTCCCCTTCTCGGTTGGGCGCCTGGCGTCTGGCATTCAAAGCGTCAATGTTTATGTTTTGGAGGAATGGAGGATTGTGAAGACGGTTGAGACTAATAATTGAAATATATTTACATGAACTATTTTTCTTTTTATTCAATACATGGATAATTTCAAAATAATAATAATGAAAAAAAAGAGTAAAATTAAAAAAAAAACTTGTAATACACGTAATATCATGATTTTGTTTGGTATTATAGAAGGAAAATCTTCATTGAAGCGTAAGCAATAATAATCCATAGTTTCTGATCATCCTGTCAGATAAGCGTAAGCAGACAAAACGGGGAATTATTCCTCTCGAAATCCAATACTGGTTTACAACTGAAACAAATGAAATAAAAGATATGGATGAGTATTTAATTCTTAATTTATACATTTCTTATCATGGAGTTTATTTAATACTTACAATTGGATGAATTTCGAAGTTTGCGGGCAATCGTTCAGGTCGTTTGTGGGCTCTCATTGGCTTGAAAAATACATTGCCGTGAGAACAGAAGATCAATTTAGCTCGTACACCTCCAAGCGTGAGGAAAGTACCACCAATTTTGAAGTGTTTGTTGACAATAGCTCTCAGTTTTTTTTTCATGACTCTCTCAGACAATTGACTCCTCCATTCCTCTGGCACGAAAACACGCAGTTGCTCATCATCATCATCATCGTTCGAGTCATCTGATGATCGTGCTAGACTGTATGATGTTGACTCATCACTTCTGGTATCTGATACCAACACCTCCAATGAATCTACATCCATAGGTTGATGTTTTTCTGAGATGCTCACCGATGTCTCGGGCACCGTAAAATTGTCTTCAGCTGGCTTTGGACTCTCTGATGACTCATCAATGATCAGAATATCCTCCTCCGGACTCTTCGGTGAGTCGGGAATATTTAAAATACCCTTTTCTGCTGGTTCGGGACTCTCCGGTGAGTCGGGAATATTCAAAATCCCCTTCTCTGCTGGTTCGGGATTCTCCGGTGAGTCGGGAATATTCAAAATACCCTTCTCTGCTGGTGTGGGGCTCTCTGGTGAATCGAGAATATTCAAAATACTCTTCTCTGCTGGCTCGGGGCTCTCTGGTGAGTCGGGAATGCTGATAACATCCTCCTCTGCTGGCTCAGGACTCTCTGATGAGTCGGGAATGCTGATAATATCCTCCTCTGCTGGCTCTGGTGAGTCGGGAATATTGTGAACTTTCTCCTCGACAGAGTTAATATTGTCAGATGGCATGTCAATAACCACAGGTTTTTCGATTGACACATCAGTTGTTGAGTCTGGAACAACTGTTGATTGTGATGTGTTCAAAAGCAATGGAGTAGAACTTCCAGATGAAACATTCACAGGTAAGTCCCCATCTGATGTCTCCTTCTGGTCCGATGCCTCCCCATCTGATGTCTCTACTTCGGAGATGCCCTCAGGATCTCCGGCCTCAGATGAAGTTGCAGAAAAATCCACCACACCAGGCACAAACTCCTCATCAGTTAAACTATCGTACTCATTTTCTGAATTGGAAGAGTGCACTGATCCCATCACTCTCAATGGCACATCTCTTTTCATTTTTTCAGAACTCCTCACGTTATCCANACCAACACTAGACATAGCAGTAGAACTCTTCACACTTGACTCACTGAATCTAAAATGTCCTGCACTGTGCGAGCATGGGGTTTATAAAACTGATTGACGGGGTCTTCATAACGAAAGCGTCATCTTCGGGTTGACTCCCACCATCTGATCATTCATACTTTTTTAATCGAGGGGGTAGGGAGACTTCGGATATAAACCGAAGAATATACTAGCGTACCGAGGGAGACGTTGGTATTACCCCTCCTCTCAAACGCCATTTTGTTCAACGGTTATTGCATCATGCCACGAAATATAAACCAGACTTTGAAGAAACGTCATCATCGTATCGTAACGGTTATTGGATTAATATTATGAATACATGACCATTTGATCTTACCAAACCTCCAGACAAATTTTTTCTTTCGAGGACTCCAACGGAAAAATAATTCGCGAAATTTCACAGACTTTTGTTGATGTGAGGGCATTCAATGAAAACCGTTACTGTGCTAACACCAACGAAATTGTCCAGCTATGTTTGACATCTCTCCCTGGAATCTCGAGAGCAGATCATGTAATTTGTCCAGACAATAACAAAATTATTGAAGTAACATTTCCAAGACAGTATGCAGACACCAAGTCCACTACCTCTCATGCTAAAAACCAGGGAGGGGCGGTGATGATGAAACAAGAAGACTGAGCAAAGTTCTCAGTTACTTTTACAATTGAATCATAGCAATATGGCGGTGGTTATTGATATCGAGGGTTTCAAAGATTTTGGCAATCAGTTTGTCTTGAAAGAATTTGCAGTATCAGCATTGGAGCTTGATGATGATGGAAAATTTCTTCATGAGTCAGTTTTGGTGGATCCACCCCACAAATGGGAGGATTTATTGCTTAAATATCGGGAAATGAATCAGTGGTTGTCCCATCATTATCATGGGCTACATTGGGATACTCCTGGAGAAATTGAGTATGATAGAGTGAGTGAGTTTATCAATGCTATGGTGAAGGATGTTAAACACATCTACGTTCAAGGTCTGGAGAAGAAAAATTGGCTCGAGAAGATTCTCAAGAATGCAATACCTATCACTGATTTGGATGATTTTGATTATCCGGTATTGGAGAATGTGGAGATGGAAATAAAGTGTGTCTATCATCATAGTTTTTTTGATGGAGGTCCTATTAATTTTCATTGTGCAGTGGTCAATGTGCAACGTTTGAAGAAGTGGTTTACCAAGTACGATGCTGGGTGCTTGGAGAAATCATTGACAAAGTATTGTCAGACTGGACATTTAAATTCTTTGACGAGTGAGGAAATTTCTTTTCTTCCAAAATGTTTTATAAAAACTGTTGCCAAATCCACTGTGGATGCAGCTTGGGAGAAGTTATCAGAGAGCATGAAGAAGGATCCAAGCATTGCACGTCTACGTTATTGTCGCACTCATTGGCCCGCTTTGGCAGCGTCTTCAAGCAGTTCAATTCCTCCACCAATAGTAGAGTGCCCTCTATGTCAATATAAACGTTGGTAGTGTATACAAAGTCTTCATGCTACCACGAGTTCTCTGAAAGAACAATCCCCTCCTCCAGTGCGATCACTGCTCAGAGTCTCCAATATAAAACCTCACCAGTACTCTCTTGAATTTCAACGATACCACTCGATAATTATTATCATTCATTTTCCCCAAATTGACGAATACAATTAAAAATTTTTTGAATCAACATTTTGAAGATGTCAGAACCAATATCTTTTTTGATGTGGGACCAGACTTATCAATCGCTGGATGATGCAGCAGGAGCAGCTGATGCAGACACCTCCTATTATCGTCTTCTACACAATGTCTATATCCCCTTGGAATGGTTCATGCAACTTCCAGTGCCTACGCTGATCTATCATACTGAAAAAGCGGTGCAAGCAACGGATGGTATTACTGATGTTCATCTCTCACTAGTTGGTGTCCGCACGATCCTCATGAAAAACAATGATTTTTTCATCTTCATTAAAGGGGCTTTAGCAGAAAAGTGTGCTGACAAAGATAGCAGTTCATCGGAGGATGAAGACAACCCAATATGTGAGTCATCCAATGGGCTGAAGGGCAGTGCACATATAGAAAC